GGATGGAGAGAGAGTCAAAATGACTCTTTTGCCCCCTTTAATCGCATGGAGCAGGTTACTACTTCCATCCCAATTAACATTTGGATATGTTCCTATTGTTTATTATCGATCGTTAGTGCCTCCGTTGCTGATGTTTATCTAGGCAAATTTCTCACAATTGCTTTCGTTTTAATTACTACTATAGCACTGTTTTGATATGCTTTAAGATGGTTAAACACTTACTAATGAATGATTGGTTAACGGGTTTTTGACGAATTGACTGAAGCTGCGATTTTAATTACGAATTGTTAATGCGTTTTGGATGAATTGACTGTAAGTATGATTTTAGTTATACCTTCCATGAGATAAGTGCAATGCAAGTGCTCGACAAAGTATGAATCCATTGTCATATCATTTTCAGTTTTTTCATGTTTTGTTGTTTGTAATTTTCGTTGTGTGGTTAGTATGAGGAAGCTCCTATAAGATTTTAGTTTTTTGTGGGTTTTCAAGTTTTTTTCATGGCTTCAATTTTTGTTTTTGAATCTGTCTATAATGTTTGCATTGATAGAAAAAGGCTGCTTAAGCTTTGTGGACCATGGTGCCTTACTACCTGCCTGGCTGCCTTGAATGGTGGTGCTATGAGATTCTGATGTTGCTAACAGATCGGCTTTCGAATATTGAAATGTTATATATTGCTAACAGGTTGGCACCGCGTCGGCACTTTTTCTAGTAAGATCTATTACTGAAACGATAAATTCATAGATAACTACATATTAGGTAAAATGTTTTGTTTTCGTAAATGTTTGAATTCTAAATGTCCGGTTATTTGGCCTATCAAACGTTCAATTTTAGTATTACAATGAATTCATAACAGGATTAGTGAATTCAATGATCTGATTTAATCATTCTCTATTTATGATAAACACGAATCTACCTAATGTTTTCTTTGACATTCTCCTTGGACCATCTCCAATGGTTAGGCTAAAAGTCAAATATTTTAGCCCAGAAAATTTAGCTTTTTAGCCCAGAAATAGCTTTTCTGCTCAAACCGTTCTAGCCTAAAATTTTAGCCCGGGATTATTAAAGAATGAACTTAGGCTATTTTTATTGAATTAAATTAAAAAAAATATCTAGACTATCGTAAATTAATTTTATGAACATTTTAATCTAAAAAAATTTAAATTCCAATTTCTGGGCTAAATTTCGGGAGGAATCTGGCATTGGTTTAGCATTTAGCATTTAGTCCAAATTTTCCCCTTGGGTTGGAGTGGGTTTGGGGGAAAATTTTGAGGAGTAATTTGGCTTTTAGCCCACCATTGTAGTTGGTCTTAAAGAAGCTGTCTTGGAACTTAGAAGCAATATACATGTTTAACAGAATGTCTCAAAGGACCTCCGAAGCCAAAGCAACTACACAAAGTGGCACAATGAGAAGAAGAGCGGGTGGAAATTTGGAATATAGAAAAGAACTAGGGTACCCAAGTTAATAATAAAATTCGCAAATTGGAACCGTCCGGCATCCAAATTCCAGAAGGAGCGAATAACAAAAAAAAAAAAAAAAGGTTTTTATATTAACATCCCACAAAATGTTGAACGCACCACACATTAAAATTTAATATTAAATGACTTATTTACTCCACTAAATACACCCCAAATCACTTTTAATGTATTATTTATCTTCTTAACTATCAAACATTTTGATTAAGAAAAATTGTTTTTGACAAATGAAACACGAAATTGATGTTTCAGGAGTTTCACATGAGGTAAGACTTCATAGTTTTCATTGTTTTAGTGATTTCGATGACATCGATAATTATTTAATCTTGCGTTTGCTGCATTATTTAAACTTCTATATTCATATTCATCTTTTAGTGTTCATATGGTTAGATTCAATCCCTGAAAATTAAAAATGAGTGTTATAAGATTTGAGAAATGTGGGGTGTAAAGAAAATGTGGGCTCTATGTACAAAATATAAGATGTATATTGAGAATGTGGGGTGTGGGGGTATTATGGGAAAGTAAGTGGGGTATATTAAGATAATTTTTAAGTAAAAAAGCAAATGTGGGGTGTATTAAGTTTATGGGGTTTATTCAACAATTTGTGGGGTGTTAATATAATTAGCAAAAAAAATAAAAAAATAAAAAAGGTATAAGCCAAAAAACCGACATTGTTGCAACTCCCGACTCCCCCGAACGACACGCCATGTCAAATTATCAACTGTAGATCCATCGCAGCCATTTCTCTATATTTTTAGGGGATTTTAACGAAAAATTTTCGGTATTATTCATTTTAACGAAAAATCACATTTTTACATTAAAATATCAATTCTGGTACTATTCATTTTATCTTTTATTTTATTTTTATTGTTAAAACTCAAAGTTTTCAAAACATTTTCATTAATTTTTCTTATTTTCTAAGCTCTCTCCCGTCGCACAGGATACTAAGAGCAGATGCCACAGACGCCAAAAAACAAACCTTCAAATCTTCAAACCCAATTCAATCCCAATGATTCTATTGCAGTCCCACTCAACATTTCTCTCGACAGTTTGGCTCAATCGCCTCCAGAAGTTCTTTCCTTTTCCCAATTCAAGGGTCCAACCCTCCCATTTTGTATGGTTTTGCAGCATCGAGAAGGCGGTGGAGGTTTATGGGAAGAATATATACATTTGTTTATCTACTTTATGAACAGTGTTATTTTGTTAAATTACAACATTAAATAGATAGCCGTTACATATATATTTTGTATTATGTGATTGATAAGTACAAACTAGATAGAATTCTTGTACTAAATGGATAGCCGTTACATAATTGTTTATGGGAACATTTATTGAAAGATATAATTCTTTTATTTAATACATATGTTGCAAGTATCCAAAGACAAAGTAGAAAGGGAAAAACATCACATTATATATTATTACAATCAAACTTCAGAATAAAAATCTTTTGAAACAAGTCGTTTTCAATGCAATTGCTAGTGCTACTTATCTTTGATGTCATCCAAGAATTGAAAATAGGCATACCTCCATGAGGTCTTTAAGATCAATGTGCCGTAGAAACCCCAAAAGCTTGTGATAAAGCCAAGTACCACGCTGACATAGAACAACAACTTATCATTTCCATCTTCATTCTTTTCCATTGCATCCTTGGCAGTAAAAGTGTCATCTTCAGGGCACTTAGTTGAGAGATGAAAGCCACATAGCCATGGATTACCCATATAAATGGACGAAACATTGAGCGTTTGAAACTGGTTTTCAGAAGGAATTCTTTCGGACAAGTTGTTGTAAGACAAGTCCAAGTGAGACAAAGAGGTTAAAGATGACAAGCTTTGAGGAATCTGTCCTGAAAGGTGATTGTGTGAGAGATCAAGAGTTTCGAGCCAACACAAGTTTCCGACCTTGGAGGGGATCTTTCCAGTCAATTGATTCATAGACAAATTCAAGATGCTCAACTTAATGAGGCTGCTTATTTCTTCAGGGATTTCATCTTGTAAATTATTTAATGAAAGATCAATGCGCTTTACAAGATATAGAGTCGTGTTGTACACAAGTTATTTTCCTTTTAGTGTCAGTGTGGCTTGCTCAAGCTCATCAAGATAGTGTTCATAGGAATTATCATTGATCGGAGAAGAGTATCCATAAGAATTATCATCGACCATGGAAGTTAAGTTACCTAAACATTGGAATAGTACTTGAAAGGTTGTTGTGACTAAGGTCGAGGATGTGAAGGCCATGAAGATTGCACAGTTGCTGGGAAATGCGTCCAGTAAAATAATTGGACCGTAATCGTAGCATAGACAATATGGATACATTTGATCCTCCTACCCATAGAGGTATGTTCCCAGATAACTTGTTGTCACCAAGATCAATACTCATCAAACTAGAACAATTTTACAAAGAATCAGGAATTTCACCTCCAAAATTGTTGTTGTTGAGCTTTAATATTTCAAGGGAACTTAGTACCCCCAATGAAGTGGGAATCTTACCAAAGAGGTTGTTTTGATCAACATCTAGAAACACCATGTTGCTCTCCACACTCCATGCGTTTGGGAGTTCTCTAGAAAATTGATTGCTCCTCAGAGACAGGATTCTCAAGTGCTGCATGTTGCAAATAGAGGGAGGAATAGTGTCATTCAAATGATTCTCATGAAGTAACAATTCTTGCAAATTGGGCATCATTTGGTCAATATTTGAGGTGATTGGCCCTGAAAATAAATTGCTTTCAAGATAAAGGTATAAAGCATGAGTCGACCACCAAAGTGGGAGTTGGCCCTCCAATTGATTATGACTCAAGTCAACAACATCTAAATTTGGAAATTTCAAATGGGATGGAACATTTCCATGAAATTGGTTGACACAAGTGTTGCAAAATTTAAACTAACCGAAATTAGTCCAACTTAGTTCCAAAGTTTATGCTCGGAAGCGTACAAATCGGTTGATAGTATATAAAGCAAGCACTTAATATCATCCCTCAGAAAATGATTTAATTCTTATCAACTAACTTAAGTCCAATTGCAACGAAGTAAAATTAGCAAAGATTGATGAAAGATGGATTTGAGAATTGAAACTAATAGTAAAAACAAATGAAAACAAGAAAGTTTGATCACAATGCAAAAAGTGGTAGCCAAGAACACAAATTGTAATTCAGTCGAGTAAAACGCTAGAGCATCCGACTCACCATAACCAATCCAACTTATTTTCTTCAGTGAATTATTAACAAGTACTCAACCTCATTGATAGTCAAATCTCCCCAACACATGTAATATCTATGGCATCTAGACTATTACGTATATCCCAATATGCAACCATCCATGGCATCTGGAATAGTTTAACATAATAAAACTCATTACAATCAGTGGAAATTTATATAAAGATTACACAAATCCTAGAGTCTGACATCTACTACTAGGTAATTCATGGTATCTATGTGCAAGAAGCTATTACTCAAGTTGAAAACATGACACCTACACAACTTGTATCAAATTCACCAAGACTAAAACCAAGCATATAAGCACAGCAAACGATACTCAATGAAATTGAAAACTCGAAAATAATTCAATTCAGAATTTAATCATTCATAGTCATGGCTACACCATAGCCTTAGCTAAGGAAAATTAGTTTCGAAACATAACTGGAAATATGATTGAATTCATATAAAAAAAAAATTAAAAGAAAAACTAAGTTTAGAAAAGCCTGAAATCCCCGTGCTCTGCCGCTGCCTTCTTCTCTTTTTTCTCCTTCCAGAAAAAATTGATCAGTTCTTTTCCTTCTTTTCCCCTTTTACGTTTCCGTAACCGACGAAAGATTAACCCCAATTAATTGCTGACGGTAAAAGAGAGGAAACGGTAGAAGTCTTCAATTATGTGCTGGCCACTCTTTGGTACATTAAGGCACCCAAATGAACATCTATTAACATTAAGCTCGTGCCCTTGATCTCCTTGCTGCTGCTTCCCCTAGGTTCAATAACTCTTTCATTGCCATCAATAAATCCATTTATACAAACAACCAAGTCTCTCTCTTTGATGCCTTCTCCAAAACCCATAATAAAAGAGAACACATACCACAAGAAAATCAAACAAATTAGGAGCAAGAAAATATGGGAATAACATTCCTCTGCTTTCCTTTTCCGTTCTCCCCCAACTGTGCAACTGCAATTTCACCAACTTAATCACTGCCTCTTTGATGCGATCTCCCATTTTTCTGATTCTGTAGCAGTCAATTCCCCATTTTTCTTTGAGATAGTGAGTTCCTCCTGGAAAATGGTAAAAGTCGCAAGCCTTTCAATCATCTTTTAAGACAGATCAAATTGAAGTTTGATGCCCTTTAAGTATTGAAGTGGCCATGTGGAAGCAAAACAAACTGGTTCATCTTTGGATCCAAATGATAGAAATATTGCCAGCTTTTACCATGTAGACCCTACATAAAAATTATGAGAATAAGATGAATTTAGATAATGCCTGCACATGAATCCAAAAGAGGAGAAGCTCCAACAACGTCCACTTTGACTAGAAATTAAACAAAAATCTTAGGAATGTTGCCTTATTATTAATCTAGTCATAAAGGCACAAATCTCTGAAATTCCTTTCATTTTTGTCCAACTTATCACAAGAAAATGTAACTTTTGGAGTAAATAAATAGTAAAATATGCGATCATCAAATACCCCCAAACTTACATTTTGCTTGTCCTTGAGCAAAAGAAGAAAACATAAGAACAAGTAATAGCATGATAATATCCAGAGATTTGAAGCCTGTTTTAGATAAATCAAGGTTTTCCAGAGATTTGAAGTTTGAATATTCACTTGGAAAATTATCCCTAAAATAATTCCCGGATCGATCAAGTGTTATGAGGTTGGTACGATTAAGAAACCAACTGGGAAATGAAGAACTTTTAATGCCATCAACCGACATATCAAGGACCAAAAGTGACGTCAAGTTAATCCTCTGCAATGAGAGTGGAAGAAAGTTAACGCTCTGTAGTGAGAGTGGAATGCTTTCAATTTGACACGAAGATAAATATAACTCTAACAATGAAGGGAGCATGATAATATCATATGCCCAACTGACTCCTGTGCTGCTAAGATCAACGTCATTGAAATTAATGCATTTCAGGGAAGAGAGGTGAGGAAGCCAATTCAAATTTTTGGAAGATAAGTCTTAATTCCACCCGAGATCAAGAAAATTTAGGCTCGACAGGTTACCAAGAGAAGAGGGAATCTCTCCTCCAAATGACGCAGAGGAGAGATTGAGATATTGCAAACTTTTAAGCTCCCCAATGAACTTAGGAATTTGATTGCTAAGAAAATAATTCCCGCTCAAGTCCAGGTAATTTAAATGTTTCAAGCTCAACAGAGAAGCATTTATCTTACCTCACAAATTCTCGCAGAGAAGAATCTATTTTTGGCCATATCAAAAAGTTCAAACTTTGTTGTTGAAATTCCATATTTTGTTGTGTACAAAACCCCAGATTTACAAAAATTCTGGAAATTAGTTAAAAAACAGGGAATTACTTCCATCAGAGTTCATGGTCTTTGTAAAATACATAAATAAAAAATTCAAAAAAATAAATAAAAAAAAAATAAAAAAAAGTTGAAAAAAAAACCAATTTATCTTCATTTCATGTAAATTGATCATAGTTTTGCTCAACACAAACATATCTACTCTACGATCGTTGTAGAGTAGACATTAGGTGGACAACTCTTTTGACTATGCCAATAGACACATTACGAAAGTTTACTTTCCATGAGCTTTGCATGTAACTCACAAATTCCCAACTATATGTGTCATTTGTTGGTCCTTGACCTTCATTGCGTAATCACTAAAGTAACCAAATCCAATAAAAACAAAAATGTGACTCTCTCTCTATGGCTTTCTTACTACACAAAAATATCCCTAATTAAAGCATGCCACACATCATCACATTGCTATTATATGAAGTATATTTCTCATTGGCAAGTAATATACTCTCCTTAGCCCAAGAGGATATGAAATTGGTTGAGTACACTGTTCTAGCCATTCGAATCAATAAGCTCAAGTTTGCATGGTACAAAACCCTAAATACTCAGACATATGATATCCAATCTTCCACTTTACAAATCACATATGGGTAAAATAATAGCTCTAAAGAAATCGGAAGAAGTAAAGGGCTTTAGAACACAAATATACCTGAGGTGCCAAAATATGGAGTTGAGGAAACGTTTTCTTCTTATTTTGAGGGAAGAAGAATCCAGCTCTGAATTTGGATCCATTTTCTTAACCCCGTGGTTCCTATAACCCATAAATTTTTCTAGTATCGTTCAAAATCACAAGTACCCCAGATGAATTGAAAAACTGCAGAGATTAGTCAAAAACACCTGAACATCACCATATTGGCTGTACTAAATATAACAGTACCCCAAATTTATGGGGCTATCAAATTTATGTATATTTTTTAATGACACTAAAGATTAATTCTAAATTCATGGTACTATCAAATTAATGTATATAGCATACCTATATTAGTATGATTCTAATTTACATTTGTTTCTTATCAAAAAAAAATTATAACATAAATTTCAACATGTATGCGTACAATGCAAAAATTTTTGTTTCGTAAATTACAAATAATTCACTAATACTTCATACATGGAGTGGCGAACCACTTTAGTTGGGTTATCTTGGCACATATTTGAGTTAGACAGTTGATAAAGGGATAGTACTTCTTATATATATTTGTACCAGCCAACGCCAGCAAAAAAATTAATGAGCAATCTAAAAAGTAGCCAAAATCGCTTCAGCCATATGCATCATGAAACACATTCTAAGCTATCTGGACAGACTACCTTGAAATATTCTCTGATATACTGTTGCAAATATGCCTCTATAACAAACACAAAACATTGAATTCCATTACCTTCTTGTTATTGACCTCTTTCTCAGTCGGAATCGCCAGACTTCCGAACCATCATCCGGGAACTGTGGAGGAAGAGACCGTCGACCACGCCTTCACGCACCTGCGGCCGGAGCTGAAGAGGAGAGTTAGAATTATAATATATCATATTGACGGATTCTCAGACACATTTCATCGAACACTAGTGTGCCACGTTCTCATATGCTTTCTTGTAAGATTAATTGAAGAACAATACTAGTTTTTGAACAAAATTAACTTCCTGACGAGTAATTTAACAGAGAAGAAGCAAAAAGAGCGCAAAGAAAAAGCTTATATAAATCATAATATGATTAAATGCAGGCTGCACAAATGTCACTGGAAAATCACGGGTAGCCGCAAGCTACTTTATCCTCTAAAAGCCAAACCAAACAAATCAAAAACAGGACACGCAAATAAAGATTTCATCAATTTGTTTACTAAATCCGTTTTTTCTGATTTCATTTCGAATACCCAAATGAAAAAAATTAATTAGAAGCTTTCAACTGAGAGATTACCTGAAGAGAGGGAAGTTTCAGCAAGCGAGAATAGAGATGGAGCCCCCATCCCTCTAAGCCCTAGCCCCTCACTTGAATCGCCCACCCACCCTCTGCAAACCCTAGACCCACCCCGTAATCTCTCTGCAACGGACAGAAATGGAAGACAAGCCTCTCCTTTACAAATTATCCATTGAAGATCCATCTCAGCCATATCAAATTATCCGTTGTAATACTAAGAGCAGAAGCCACAGACGCCAAAAAACCCTCAAATCTTCAAACCCAATTCAATCCCAATGATTTTATTTCAGTCCCACTCAACACTTCTCTCGACACTTAGCTCAATCGCCTCTAGAAGTTCGTTCCTTTTCCCAATTCAAGGGTCCAACTTCTTCTCCTTCTTCTTCCTCCTTGTCTCCCTCCTATTTTTGTATGGTTTTGAAGCCCCAACAAAAAGTTTGTCTTCAGTCAGTGGCTAAGTCAGGAATCGTTGGGGGAAGGAGTGAAATCTATAAGGGTAAAAGATCCAAAAAAATGTAGACAACCAACTCCTAAACATCAAGCTAATCATTCTAATGATGTGTTACAAATCCGTAATCGGGTAATACTGCAATTAGTACATCTCAAACACAAATACTGACAACCCCCAATCAAAAGAACAATACCGTGAAAAACATGATAAGAAGAGAGACAACGTAAGACTAAATTCATTAGACTGAAAATGGTACTTGGAGACTGAAAGAATAGAGGGAATGCATGCAAAATCAGGAGGTGAATTCTTATGAAATGCAAAAATGCAAACCCAGCAACCATTGACATGCCCTTGGAGCACTTGGGAAGCTGGAAATTTCATCAATCTCATAAGCAGCTCAGTTGTCAGCTCCACATACAACCCATTTTCTATGAACACAAACTCCCTCTCAACTTTATTTCTCTTCCCCTCATCCAATCCGTACACATGCAAGCTCCTAATAAACTCACCATGGTTGATGGTGTTCTTGAAGACCAGGAGAGATCTCAGCAAATGAACAAAATACACTCCATTTGTCCCAAAATCACTCATAAAACTTCACATTATTACATAAATATCATGGCCTTTGCAATCCATAAAAAATTAAAATAAAGAATAGGAATAAATTCAAAGAACCCCACATTACACTAGGAAGTAGTGTAGTACAGTGTTTGGATACATGGAAAAATGAGAAGGAAAATGCAAGGCCAGATGCTTTTTCATCCTCGCACAAACCTAATCATCACACAAACCTAATCAGATCATCAGTTACCCACATAGGCTGCTATTTCTTCACTTTAAAGATTCTATGTTCTTGCTCAGCTCCTCCAGCTTCTTCATCCTCGTCTTCTCATTTTGGCTCACCAGCTGCATCAAATGTAACACGACAACAAAACAATCTCAAAACATTGAATTATATAAGCACTTTGTACGCTTTTACTGAATCAAAATATAATGAGTGATAACTAGCATCGGTTGAGAGTTTGGACGGGTTGAACTCCTAACCGGAGGTAAGCCCAAATTTTGTAGGATTGGTTTTGTCAAAGCAGGCTCAACCGTGCTCACTCTAACTCCGAACTGGCCAGACTGGTTCAAGTTCAACCCATCCATGAAATTGCAACCCTAGCTATGCCAAGTAAAAAATTGTTTAACAAACTAACCTCCATTAGCTTTGTGATAAGCTCCACATTTTCTCTGTTCTTTTCATTGAAAGCCTCAAGTGCATCTCTGTATTCCTTTTCCTGTGACAAGTTACAAACCCGAAATTCATCACAAACACACACGAATTGATCCATAATTGCATATGCATAGCAGTAAACATTGACATCAGCAAAATCCAGGTTGTGTTACCTTCTTCTGGCAGGTATGTCCTAGTGGCTTTAACTCTGTTAATCGCATAGATCTTTCTTACGAACTAGTGAAACATCCTTCCTCATTGGACCTGAGAGCCCTTCAAGCTCCTGGAAGTTCCATAATTTACGACAAAAGGGAAATTAATCATCTAATAATTGCTAGCAAATGATCCAACGATTATACAGAAGAAAATTTGAGGGTTTTGAGAAAGAAGAGAATCTGTTTTTTGCCGTATCAAAAAGTTTAAACTTTGTTGTTGAAATTTGTCGGCTAAATTCCATATTTTGTTGTGTACAGAACCCCAGATTTACTCTGTTAGATGAGACAAACAAATAATTATCCAGCAGTACAAAATTATTAGCATCCGACCATATGCTGCTAGACAATTGTTTCACTAACAAAAATTCATAAATTATTGACAAAAAATTCTTACAAAATCGATATTATATTACATTTGAATATGAATGAGGATAAATGGTTGACACTCATAAATGTGTTCACTTATCCATAATAAAATTTAAAAGGATGAAAAAATAACAACAAAACACAGAACACAGGCACCTTACCCCAATGCCTCATGAGTACAAATGCATTCTAAATTTGAACCTGACTAAAAGTTGATAAAAGGATAGTACTTCTTATATGTATTTGTACCAGCCAAGGCCAGCAAAAAATTAATGAGCAATCCAAAAAGTAGCCAAAACCGCTTCAGCCTTACGCATCATGAAACACATTCTAAGCTATCTGGACAGACTATCTATAAATATTCTCTGATATACTGTTGCAAATATGCCTCTATAACAAACACAAAACATTGAATTCCGTTACCTTGTTGCTATTGACCTCTCTCTCAGTCGGAATCGCCAGAGGTTCAGAACCGTCTTCCGGAACTGTGAAGGAAGAGACCGTCGACCAGTACCACGTCGCCTTCACGCACCTGCGTCGGAGCTGAAGAGGAGAGTCAGAATTATAATATATCATATTGACGGATTCCCAGATACATTTCATCTAACACCTAGTCTGCCACGTTCTCGTATGCTTTCTTGTAAGATTAATTGAAGAACAGTACTAAGTTTTTGAACAAAATTAACTTCTAGATGAGTAATTTAACAGAAAAGAAGCAACAAAAAAACCCAGAAATCTTTTAATTGAAGAACAATACTTGGTCTTTGAACAAAATTGAATTCCAGATGAGTAATTTAACAGAGAAGAAGCAAAAAGAAACCCAGAAATCTTTAAAAAATTGTCTATAAAAAATGAAATTACCTTGAACGGAGCTCGCTGCAAACAACACAACCACTCATTAATACGTTCAACCCCATTTGCACATAAACAATTAGAAAGATGTGAAAAAAGAAAGCAAACAAAAAGCTTATATAAATCATCATATGATTAAATGCAGGCACAAATGTCACTGGAAAATCAAGGGTAGCACCAACCAACAACAACAAAGCCTTTTCCCACTAAGTGGGGTCGGCTATATGAATCCTAGAACGCCATTGCGCTCGGTTTTGTGTCATGTCCTCCGTTAGATCCAAGTACTCTAAGTCTTTTCTTAGAGTCTCTTCCAAAGTTTTCCTAGGTCTTCCTCTACCCCTTTGGCCCTGAACCTCTGTCCCGTAGTCACATCTTCGAACCGGAGCGTCAGTCGGCCTTCTTTGCACATGTCCAAATCATCGGAGCCGATTTTCTCTCATCTTTCCTACAATTTCGGCTACTCCTACTTTACCTCGGATATCCTCATTCCCAATCTTATCATTTCTCGTGTGCCCACACATCCCACGAAGCATCCTCATCTCCGCTACACCCATTTTGTGTACGTGTTGATGCTTCACCGCCCAACATTCTGTGCCATACAACATCGCTGGCCTTATTGCCGTCCTATAAAATTTTTCCTTGAGCTTCAGTGGCCTACGACGGTCACACAACACGCCCGGATGCACTCTTACACTTCATCCATCCAGCTCGTATTCTATGGTTGAGATCTCCATCTAATTCTCCGTTCTCTTGCAAGATAGATCCTAGGTAGCGAAAACGGTCGCTTTTTGTGATCTTCGCTAGATTGCTCCGGTCATTAGTGTGGATAAGTATATAAATGGATAGAGATAGGAAAGCAAACACAAGATGTACGTGGTTCACCCAGATTGGCTACGTCCACGGAATAGAAGAGTTCTCATTAATTGTGAAGGGTTTACACAAGTACATAGGTTCAAGCTCTCTCCTTTAGTGAGTACAAGTGAATGATTTAGTACAAATGACATTAGGAAATATTGTGGGAGAATGATCTCGTAATCACGAAACTTCTAAGTATCGGAGTGTGGTGTCGTCTTGACTTGCCTTATCTGTCTCATAGGTAGATGTGGCATCTTCTCTGGAAGTACTCTTCCTCCATCCAGGGGTGGTATCTTTAACTGGTGGAGATGCACAAGGTAATGTATCAATTTCACTTGAAGCTTACTTGTAGTCTCAGGCTTGGTCAAGCGCGATACAAACCATGTAGTAGGAGTCCCCCAAGTCGCCGAGCTAGGGGGTCTGCTGAAAGAGGTGACAGACAAGGTAAGCAATCAGAGCTCCGACTGATTGTTCACCTTCTCCCCATCTTGCAGCAGCATGAAGGATAAAGAGAAGAAAAATGAGAAGAGATGATATGAGATACTTTTGCTTTTGAAGAAGTAACTTTCCACAGGCTTATTCTTGAACTGAGCTGGAGGGTTTTCTGGTTTCCTCCAGAGTATAAGGCCGACTGAAGAATTTGAGGGTCAAAACAAGTCCATCAAATCTAGAGTACGTTCCACCCTGCTGATATGGGATACTTTTGCTTTTGACAGAGTAATGGGTGTATCGGCACGTGTGCTGTTACGCTTGTCTCCACATGCTTCCTTGTATCCTTCGCACTTGCCCTATCTGTTCCTCAAGCAGATGCGGAATCTTCCCTGGAAACATAAGATGTTGAAGATGAGTACTCGAGAGCAATGCCAGGTAAGTAATCAGGTAAGGGGTTCCAGGCAGTCAGTTTCCTGGCTGGAAGCTTGATCCAAGTGCTGACTGATTGCTCTCTTTCTCCTTGTCTTTGCAGGTAAAAACAAGGCCAAAGGAAAAGACAGGGAAAAAGCATGATATGGGATACTCTTGCTTTTAACCCTGATGATATGAGATATTCTTGCTCTAGTATAGCTTGTTTGCAGAGGTATTATCGGGGGGAAAGAAAGCTGAATATTTCGAAAGGCTTCGTTGGGAGTGCCCTCTCAGATATGATGAAAGGTTGAGCATTTTTGCAGGTCTGCCTGTCCGTTGGGGATGGAGGTCGACATATATAGGAGTCTCCCTAACAACAAGTAGTAATGCTATTCCTTTACCCTGCTTGGTCATAGCACGGTAGTGGGAGCTGCCAGTTTCACATGTTTTAACTCTGTCAGAGCACTTTGAAAAAGTGGTCTGTGGTATCTGGCTCTCGAGATTCGGAGAACGATGCCTTTTCGATTTTTGAGAAAGCAATCATGCTGGGGGTCTGGCTCTCGAGATTCGTAGAGCAGTGTCTCTTCGATTTTTGAGGAAGTAATCATGTTGGGAGTCTGGCTCTCGAGATTCGGAGGGCGGTGCCTCTTCGATTTTGGAGCAAGCAATCCTGTTGGGAGTGTTGTCTCGAATGTGAGTAAAGGTTGGGCATGTTTGCTAGTCTACCTTGCCACGAAGCACAAAGGTTGACACACAGAGACTTTCCAATTATCCAGCAATGGTACTGTTCCTTTACCCTCTCTTCGCTTTTGAGAAAGTAGTCATGTTGGGAGTCTGGCTCTCGAGATTCGGAGGACGGTGCCTCTTCGATTTTGGAGCAAGCAATCTTGTTGGGAGTGTTTTCTCGAAAGTGAGTAAAGGTTGGGCATGTTTGCTAGTCTACCTTGCCACGAAGCACAGAGGTTGACACACAGGGACTTTCCAATTATCCAGCAGTGGTACTGTTCCTTTACCCTTGTGGGTAATAATATGGTAGCTAGACCTTCAAAATTTATGTGTCTAAACTTTGTTAGTGCTGTTTCTTTGCTATTCTTTTACCTTTCTTGGTCAGAGCGATGTAGTGGGAGCTGCAAGCTTCACGTGCTCAACTTTGGCAGAGAACTTTGGCAAAGTTATCTGTGGTACCCATGAGCTATTGTTGCGTGTGGGAAGTGGGTGATTGAACAGTAAGATTCATGTGCTTTCTACTTCACCAGAAGTCTTCGACAGAATGCCCATAATTTCTGCAAAGCTGAGTGTGCGTGTGACAGGTGCTGACAAGGCTAGAAAAGTAGGTGCCTCTTCGATTTCTGAGATCGGCCCTCGTGGTCTCTGAGCAGCCCAGCTTTTGAGAAAGCGAGCGCCTCTTCGATTGATTCGGAGAACGATGCCTCATCGATTTTTGAGAAAGCAATCATGCTGGGGGTCTGGCTCTCGAGGATTCGGGGAGCAGTGTCTCTTCGATTTTTGAGAAAGTAATCACGTTGGGAGTCTGGCTCTCGAGATTCGGAGGGCGGTGCCTCTTCGATTTTGGAGCAAGCAATCTTGTTGGAAGTGTTTTCTCGAATGTGAGTAAAGGTTGGGCATGTTTGCTAGTCTACCTTGCCACGAAGCACAGAGGTTGACACACAGGGACTTTCCAATTATCCAGCAATGGTACTGTTCCTTTACCCTCTCTTCGATTTTTAAGAAAGTAGTCATGTTGGGAGTCTGGCTCTCGAGATTCGGAGGACGGTGCCTCTTCGATTTTGGAGCAAGCAATCTTATTGGGAGTGTTTTCTCGAATGTGAGTAAAGGTTGGGCATGTTTGCTAGTCTACCTTGCCACGAAGCACAGAGGTTGACACACAGGGACTTTCCAATTATCCAGCAATAGTACTGTTCCTTTACCCTTGTGGGTAATAATATGGTAGCTAGACCTTCAAAATTTATGGGTCTAAACTTTGTTAGTGCTGTTTCTTTTTGCTATTCTTTTACCCTTCTTGGTCAGAGCGATGTAGTGGGAGCTGCAAGCTTCACGTGCTCAACTTTGGCAGAGAACTTTGGCAAAGTTATCTGTGGTACCCATGAGCTATTGTTGCGTGTGGGAAGTGGGTGATTGAACAGTAAGATTCATGTGTGTTTTCTACTTCCCCAGAAGTCTTCGACAGAATGCCCATAATTTCTGCAAAGCTGAGTGTGCGTGTGACGGGTGCTGACAAGGCTGGAAAAGTAGGTGCCTCTTCGATTTCTGAGATCGGCCCTCGTGGTCTCTGGGGAGCCCAGCTTTTGAGAAAGCGAGCGCCTCTTCGATTTCTGAGATCGGCCTTCGTGGTCTTTGAGAAGCCCAACTTTTGAGAAAGCAAACGCCTCTTCGATTTCTGAGATCAACCCTCGTGATCTCTAAGCAGCCCAGCTTTTGAGAAAGCAAACGCCTCTTCGATTTCTGAGCAGGCGCCTCTTCGATTTCCGAAGCTCCGTCGAGTGCAGATTTTTATAGAGGCTGACATTAAGTTCCAAAGCACACTTGAATCTCCACCAGTAGAAGCTTCATTCTTGCACTTCTAAGATCTTGATTTGTCCGACCTCTTCTCTCTTCAACACCTTTGAAAATGTCTGGCCCCTCCGACCGTCGTTTTGACTTGAACCTTGTTGAAGAGGCAGCCCCGCCTTCTCCAGACAACATATGGCGCCCATCCTTCGTCTCCCCTACTGGTCCTCTTACCGTTGGGGATTCCGTGATGAAGAATGATATGACCGCTGCGGTGGTGGCCAGGAACCTTCTCACTCCCAAAGATAACAGACTACTTTCCAAACGGTCTGATGAGTTAGCTGTTAAGGATTCGTTGGCTCTCAGTGTTCAGTGTGCAGGTTCTGTGTCTAATATGGCCCAACGCCTATTTGCTCGAACCCGCCAAGTTGAATCCTTGGCGGCTGAAGTGATGAGTCTCAAACAGGAGATTAGAGGGCTCAAGCATGAGAATAAACAGTTGCACCGGCTCGCACATGACTATGCTACAAACATGAAGAGGAAGCTTGACCAGATGAAGGAAACTGATGGTCAGGTTTTACTTGATCATCAGAGATTTGTGGGTTTGTTCCAAAGGCATTTATTGCCTTCGTCTTCTGGGGCTGTACCGCGTAATGAAGCTCCGAATGATCAACCTCTGATGCCTCCTCCTTCTAGGGTTCTGTCCAGTACTGAGGCTCCAAATGATCCCCCTTCGGTGCCTTCTCTTTCTGGGGCTCTACCGACTGCTGAGACTTCTCCTAAGCAACCTTTGTGAAGGCTCCGTCTTGTGTGTTTATTTTGACTCATGTATATGTACATATTTGTAGCTGATCGGGGATATCAATAAATAAGCTTTCCTTCATTTCAACGTATTGTGTTAAATACACCAAAGCCTTCTTCGCTAAGTTCTTTGAATTTTCTTTTGTTGAAGCTTGTATGTTGAAGCTTTCTGAGTGGAGCATGTAGGTTGGGGTAGTGTTCCCTTAATTTCCCGAGTGAGGAAAACTTCTCGATTGGAGACTTGGAAAATCCAAGTCACTGAGTGGGATCGGCTATATGAATCTTAGAACGCCATTGTGCTCGATCCTGTGTCATGTCCTCCGTTAGATCCAAGTACTCTAAGTCTTTTCTTAGAGTCTCTTCCAAAGTTTTCCTAGGTCTTCCTCTACCCCTTCGGCCCTGAACCTCTGTCCCATAGTCGCATCTTCTAATCGGAGCGTCAGTAGGCCTTCTTTGCACATGTCCAAACCACCGTAACCGATTTTCTCTCATCTTTCCTTCAATTTCGGCTACTCCTACTTTACCCCGGATATCCTCATTCCTAATCTGATCCTTTCTCGTGTGCCCACACATCCAACGAAGCATCCTCATCTCCGCTACACCCATTTTGTGTACGTGTTGATGTTTCACCGCCCAACATTCTGTGCCATACAGCATCGCCGGCCTTATTGCCGTCCTATAAAATTTTCCCTTGAGCTTCAATGGCATACGGCGGTCACACAACACACCGGATGCACTCTTCCACTTCATCCATCCAGCTTGTATTCTATGGTTGAGATCTCCATCTAATTCTCCGTTCTTTTGCAAGATAGATCCTAGGTAACGAAAACGGTCGCTTTTTGGTATTTCTTGATCTCCGATCCTCACCCCTAACTCGTTTTGGCCTCCATTTGCACTGAACTTGCACTCCATATATTCTGTCTTTGATCGGCTTAGGCGAAGACCTTTAGATTCCAACACTTCTCTCCAAAGGTTAAGCTTTGCATTTACCCCTTCCTGAGTTTCATCTATCAACACTATATCGTCTGCGAAAAGCATACACCAAGGAATATCATCTTGAATATGTCCTGTTAACTCATCCATTACCAACGCAAAAAGGTAAGGACTTAAGGATGAGCCTTGATGTAATCCTACAGTTATGGGGAAGCTTTCGGTTTGTCCTTCATGAGTTCTTACGGCAGTCTTTGCTCCTTCATACATATCCTTTATAGCTTGGATATATGCTACTCGTACTCCTTTCTTCTCTAAAATCCTCCAAAGAATGTCTCTTGGGACCCTATCATACGCTTTTTCCAAATCTATAAAGACCATGTGTAAATCCTTTTTCCCATCTCTATATCTTTCCATCAATCTTCGTAAGAGATAGATTGCCTCCATGGTTGAGCGCCCTGACATGAACCCGAATTGGTTGTCCGAAACCCGTGTCTCTTGCCTCAATCTATGCTCAATGACTCTCTCCCAGAGCTTCATTGTATGACTCATTAGCTTAATACCCCTATAGTTCATGCAATTTTGTACGTCGCCCTTGTTCTTGTAGATAGGCACCAAAGTGCTCGTTCGCCACTCATTTGGCATCTTCTTCGTTTTCAAAATCCTATTGAAAAGGTCAGTGAGCCATGTTATACCTGTCTTTCCCAAAAGTTTCCACACTTCGATTGGTATATTGTCTGGGCCTATTGCTTTTTTATGCTTCATCTTCTTCAAAGCTACAACCACTTCTTCCTTCCGGATTCGACGATAAAAAGAGTAGTTTCTACACTCTTCTGAGTTACTCAACTCCCCTAAAGAATCGCTCATTTCATGTCCTTCATTGAAAAGATTATGAAAATAACCTCTCCATCTGTCTTTAACCGCGTTCTCTGTAGCAAGAACCTTTCCATCCTCATCCTTGATGCACCTCACTTGGTTTTAGATCCCTTGTCTTCTTTTCCCTTGCTCTAGATAGTTTATAGATATCCAACTCTCCTTCTTTGGTATCTAGTCGTTTATACATATCGTCGTAGGCCGCTAACTTAGCTTCTCTGACTGACAGCTTTTTTCGCCTCTTGCTTCGCTTTTCTATACTTTTCACCATTTTCATCGGTCCTCTCCTTGTATAAGGCTTTACAACATTCCTTCTTAGCCTTCACCTTTGTTTGTACCTCCTCATTCCACCACCAAGATTCCTTTTGGTGTGGGGCAAAGCCCTTGGACTCTCCTAATACCCTCTTTTGCTACTTTTCGGATACAACTAGCCATGGAATCCCACATTTGGCTAGCTTCCCCCTCTCTATCCCACACACATTGGGTGATTACCTTCTCTTTGAAAATGACTTGTTTTTCTTCTTTTAGATTCCACCATCTAGTCCTTGGGCACTTCCAAGTCTTGTTCTTTTGTCTTACTCTTTTGATATGTACATCCATCACCAACAAGCGATGTTGATTAGCCACGCTCTCTCCTGGTATAACTTTGCAATCCTTACAAGTTATACGATCCCCTTTCCTCATTAGAAGAAAATCTATTTGTGTTTTTGACGACCCACTCTTGTAGGTGATCACATGTTCTTCTCTCTTCTTAAAGAAGGTGTTGGCTAAGAAGAGATCATATGCCATTGCAAAATCCAAGATAGCTTCCCCATCCTCGTTTCTCTCCCCAAAACCATGGCCACCATGAAAACCTCCATAGTTGCCTGTCTCCCTGCCCACGTGTCCATTTAAATCTCCTCCTATAAATAACTTCTCCGTCTGAGCAATTCCTTGCACCAAGTCTCCAAGATCTTCCCAAAATTTCTCCTTCGAACTCGTATCCAACCCTACTTGAGGTGCGTACGCACTAATCACATTGATAAGTTCTTGTCCTATTACAATCTTGATTGCCATGATTCTATCTCCTACCCTCTTGACATCTACAACATCTTGTACCAAGGTCTTGTCCACGATGATGCCAACACCGTTTCTCGTTCTATTTGTGCCCGAATACCAAAGTTTAAACCCTGAGTTTTCTAGATCCTTTGCCTTACTACCAACCCACTTAGTTTCTTGTAGGCACATAATATTTATCCTTCTCCTCACCATAACTTCCACTATTTCCATAGATTTTCCCGTTAAGGTTCCTATATATTCCACGTTCCTAAACGCATTTTGCTCTCTTGAACTCTACCCTTCTGTCCTAGTTTCTTCACCCTCCCCCGTCTAATAGGATCAAAGTACTTCTTTTGTGTGTCCCGGGTAAAATTGATAGGAGCATATGCTCCCAAACAACTTTGAGTGGAGTCGTTCGAAAAGAAGTTTCTATGGCCCCCTTGCTCATTTAACACTGCATCCGGGTGCCGATGGAGATGCAGCGACCCTTGCTCACTTATCACTGTGCTCAGGCCACACAGCGCGCCACTTACGGGTGACGCCCTAGCTTTAGCGCGATTTTGTTCTGGATTCATTTTCATAAGGATTCGACGTGATCATGGAGTGCCGGCTGTCGACTACCTGACGCCCTCCCCCTCCTCCTTTATCCGGGCTTGGGACCGGCCATGTAAGACATAGGCGGAGTTAAGGGTAGCACCAACCAAACAAATAAAAAACAGGACACGCAAATAAAAATTTCATCAATTTGTTTACTAAATCTGTTTTTCTGATTTCATTTCGAATTCACTGGGAAAAAAAATACATAAATCCAAAGAAAAAAAAACCCAAATGAAAAAAATTAAATTAATTAGAAGCTTTCACGCACCTGGGACCGGAGCTGAAGAGGAGAGTCAGAATTATAATATATCATATTGACGGATTCTTAGACACATTTCATCGAACACCTAGTGTGCCACGTTCTCATATGCTTTCTTGTAAGATTAATTGAAGAACAATACTTAGTTTTGAACTAAATTAACATCCAGATGAGTAATTTAACAGAAAAGAAGCAACAAAAAAAACCCAGAAATCTTAATTGAAGAACAATACTTGGTCTTTGAACAAAATTGAATTCCAGATGAGTAATTTAACAGAGAAGAAGTAAAAAGAAACCCACAAATGTTGAAAAAAATGTCTATAAGAAGTGAAACTACCTTGAACGGAGCTCGCTGTAAACAACACCACCACTGATTAATACGTACAACCCCATTTGCACATAAATCATCATATAATTAAATGCAGCAAGCTGCTTTATTCTCCAAAAGCCAAACCAAACAAATAAAAAACAGGACACGCAAATAAAATTTCATCAATTTGTTTACTAAATCCGTTTTTCTGATTTCATTTCGAATTCACTGGGGCAAAAAAATACATAAATCCATAGAACAAAAATACCCAAATGAGAAAAATTAATTAGAAGCATTCAACAGAGAGATTACCTGAAGAGCGGAAAGTTTCAGCAAGCGAGAATAGAGATGAAGCCAACATCCCTCTAGCCCTAGCCCCTCACTTGAATCGCCCACCCACCCTCAGTGCAAACCCTAGACCCACCCCCTAATCTCTCTCTGCAACAGACGCTAAAAACCCCTCAAATCTTCAAACCCAATTCAATCGCCTCTAGAAGTTCGTTCCTTTTCCCAATTCAAGGGTTCAACTTCTTCTCCTTCTTCTTCCTCCTTGTCTCCCTCCTATTTTTGTATGGTTTTGCAGCATCGACAGAAATGGCAGAAAAGCCTCTCCGTTACCCCCATACTTCTCCCATCTCTCTCTCGGCAAGGGACAGGAACCCAGAAGACGCCATCCAAATCTCCCACCTCTCTATCTGCAAGGAACAGGAATCCCAGAAAACCCTCGACGATATCGAACCACCAATTCTTCCTCCTTGTCTCCCTCCCATTTTTGCATGGTTTTCGCAGCATCGACAAGGCGGAGGAGGTGGACTACCACTGGCCGAGTTCGACGACATTCAAGTGTAAAAGAGAAGAATACATACATGTGCTAATCTAGTTCATAATGTTATTTTGTTAAATTGCAGCATTACATAGATAGCCGTTGCATATATATTTTGCAAGTACCAAATTAAATGGATAGCCGTTACATAATTGTTTGTGGGAACATTTACTGGAAGATTCTTTTATTTAATACATAAATTGCAAGTAACAAAACACAAAGTAGAAAGGGAAAAACATCACATTATATATTAGTACAATAAAACTTCAGAATAAAAACCTTTTGAAACGAGTCACTTTCAATGTAATTGCTAATACTACCTTATCTTTGATGTCATCGATGAATTGAAAATAGGCACACCTCCACGATGTCTTTAAGATTAATGTGCCGCAAATGCCCCAAAAGCCTATGATAAAGCCAAGTGCCACATTGACATAGAGCCACAAGTTATCCTTTCCATCTCCATTCTTGTCCTTTGCATCCTTAGCAGTAAAAGTGTCATCTTCAGGGCACTTAGTTGAGAGAGGAATGCCACATAGCCATAGATTGCCCACATAAATAGATGAAAAATTGAGGGCTTGAAGCTGGTTTCCAGAAGGAATTCTGCCAGACAAGTTGTTGTAAGACAAGTCCAAATGGGACAAAAAGGTTAAAGATGACAAGCTTTGAGGAATCTGTCCCGAAAGTTGATTGTGTGAGAGATCAAGAGTTTCGAGCCATCGCAAGTTTCCAACCTTGGAAGGGATCTTTCCAGTTAATTGATTCATGGACAAATTCAAGGTGCCCAACATAATGAGGCTGCTTATTTCTTCAGGGATTTCACCTTGTAAATTATTTGATGAAAGATCAATGCTCTTTACAAGATATAGAGTTGTGTTGTACACAAGTTCTTCTCCTTTTAGTGTTAGTGTGGCTTGATCAAACTCATCATAGTAGTTTCCATAAGAATCATCATTGACTAGCGAAGTTAAGTTATCCAAACACATGGGAATAGTACCTGAAAGGCTGTTGTGACTAAGGTCAAGGATGACAAGGCGATGAAGATTGAACAGTTGCTGAGAAATATGTCCACTAAAATAGTTGGACCGTAATCGTAGCCTAGACAACATAGATACGTTTGACCCTCCTATCCATATAGGTATTTTCCCAGATAACTTGTTGTCTCCAAGATCAATACTCCTCAAACTCGAACAATTTTGCAAGGCATTAGGAATTTCACCGCCAAAATTGTTGTCGTTGAGCTTTAATATTTCTAGGGAATGTAGTCCCCCCAATGAAGTGGGAATCTTACCAGAGAGATTGTTTTGACCAACATCTAGAAAGATCATATAGCTCTCTACTCTCCATGCATGAGGGAATTCTCCGTAAAATTGATTGCTCTTTAGAGACAGTATTTGCAAGTTCTGGATGTTACAAATTGAGGGAGGAATAATGCCATTCAAATGATTCTCATCAAGTAACAATTCTTGCAATTTGGGCATCATTTGGTCAATATTTGAGGAGATTGGCCCGGAAAATAAATTACTTTCGAGACAAAGGGAACTGACATTAGGGAAGCACCAAAGTGGGAGTGGGCCCTCCAACTGATTATGACTCAAATCAATAAACGTCAAATTTGGACATTTCAAATAGGATGGAAAATTTCCACGAAATTGGTTGTAAGACAAGTCTAGTAGGGTGAGTTGGGAAGATATCTTCAACAACCATTCATCTGGTATGGAATCTGAGATTCCATTACCACGAAGGATAACATCAAACAGTTCAGTTTGAGTTTGAAGCCATACCCAAAAACCAGAACTTACACCACAATTTATGATCCGAATTGTGTGGAGCTTGAAAGGAGGAACCCTGTCATAAGCCCCGTCGAAAATGAGGGAAATGGGCCGATCTATATTTCCTACTTCAAAATCTTGTAATCTGGTAAAATTTATGAAATGGGCTTCCGTTAGAATGCCTTCCCATGAATTACCAAGCAGACGTAGGGAAACTAGCTCATAGAGTTGTCCAATACTTTCTGGAATTGAGCCGTTCATATTATTATAAGTCAGGTCTAGTGTTCTCAAGGATGACAAGTTTCCGATAGAATCTGGAATTGAGCCCCACAAATTGTTTCCTCCAAGGTTGAGATTCTGTAAACTTCGAAACATTCCTAAAAAGGTCGGCAATTGGCTTTCAAGCTCGCAATAAGACAAATCTAGTGACTCTAATGTATTACTTGGACAATTTGAGAGACTCATCCAAAACTCTTCAATCGCCCCATCAAAGTTGTTCCCTGAAAGACTTAAGACCTTTAGTTTGCAGAAATTTCCACTCACTTTAGGAATTTGACCTTTTAAGCCTGTTCCAGATAAATCAAGGTTTTCCAAAGATTTGAAGTTTGAAAATTCACTTGGAAAATGATCCCTGAAATCATTCCCGGATAGATCAAGTGTTTTGAGGTTGGTAAGATTAAGAAACCAACTGGGAAATGAAAAACTTTTAATGCCATTATCCGACATATCAAGGACCAAAAGTGATGTCAAGTTAATCCTCTGCAGTGAGAGTGGAAGGAAGTTAATGCTCTGTAGTGAGAGTGGAATGCTTTCAATTTGGCACGAAGATAAATGCAACTCTAACAATGAAGGGAGCATGATAATATCATACGCCCAACTGACTCCTGTGCTCTTAAGGTTAACGCCATTGAGATTAATGTATTTCAGGGAAGAGAGGTGAGAAAGCCAATTCAAATTTTTGGAAGATAAGTCATAATTCCACCCGAGATCAAGAAAATTTAGGCTTGACAGGTTACCAAGAGAAGAGGGAATCTCTCCTCCAAATGACGCATATGAGAGATTGAGATATTGCAAACTTTTAAGCTCCCCAATGAACTTTGGAATTTGATTGCTATCAAACGAATTCTGGCTCAAGTCCAAGTAATTTAAATGTTTCAAGCTCAACAGAGAAGCATTTATCTTACCTTGCAAATAAGCATTTTCCCACTCTGCATCATTCCGGAGGTCCATCTTCACGACATGACTAGTGTTGTTGTTGCATGAAATACCTTCCCATTGACAGCAATCATGACCCACCCAAGACGAAAGCCTACCAGAATCATCAACAAGATGTTGTTTAAAGACAAGAAGCGCATGTCTTTCTTCATCAATGCATGAATTTGTCTTTACACCGCTTGAAATTTCATCACCAGCCAAACAGAAACGGAGTTTAGTAGGACTCTGCATGCAAGAAGAGACCAAAAGCAAAAGAAGCAAATAGTGAGCAATAATGCGGTGACAATGGCTATCCATTATGACACACAGTTTTTCTTTGCTTTGTTGGTGAGATGTTTAGCTACTAAAATTAGTGCGATACCGGAATTTATAGGAAGAGATTATGGATGTAGGCTGGAGAGCTGAAAACGAAAGCCGTCTGATAGAGAAAAGAAAAAAGGCTAACTGAAATGAGTGGCGGTTGTGATGGGTTGTGGAAATCCATATGCTGCGAAGACTTTGAATTAAGGGTCTTCATGTTCCATCACAAGTCACAACTTATCAACTTACTTATGGAAGCCGATTTGGATATGTTGTTATATTTTACACCACACATGCTGGTAGACTGGTAGTCACTACTTGGATATTTACAAGTTTGCAAGCCGTGTAGGAGCAGAGATTATGAATGCATGGATGAGATGGCTAGCTACCTGTGGAAGTCTTTGCACACCGATTAGTCTTTGGTGGAAAATCCATATGTCTAGCCGTGGAAATTCAAAAATCATAATTGATGAAAGGGATTGGTAGAGAGAAGAGAGTGGCAATTGGCAATGCAAGTGAGAATGATAGAATATTTGCGGTATTTTTCTGTCTTTTTTTTTTTAAATACTAGTGATATTCTAAACTAATTCATCTATTAATTTGTTCACTGATTCACATGCATTTAAGAAATTGCAAGAGGGATAGACAGAGACTGAAGCCCTAATCCATGACTCTGTTAACACTTTTTAGGGTTCTTACCGTTTAGCCCAACTAGAGGAATGGATGTGATTTGTTCCATTTTCCTCACTATTTGCGTATATACCAAGAATCGTTCCTTAAATCCTAAGAATGGCATAATATGTTCGCTCAATCAAAGGGAAGCAGCACTTAAACCTTGGTTCTTTCACTTGGTTTTGAGCTTGGTTGTGAGGACGGTGGTGCGCCGGAGAGATACAAAGAGAGGCATGGTCGCCTACGTCACTTTAATTCCCAAACAAAAACACTTTCTTTATATTTTGCTTATGTCCTTCTATGTAATTTTGCAATAGAATAAACTTGTCACCAAAACTTTCGTAAAAAAGTGGGTGAAAAAATTAGACAATATAGTGGACATAATAACACTCCTTATTTTTTGGTTTCTGTTTTGGTGTTTGGTGAAGCTGTATGTTTTGTAGAGCAATGGCTAACTTAGCGTGTTCAATCTGCTTGAACTATGATAAAGTGGTGACAAAAGTTGAAAAAGTGATTGTCTTTTCCCCCTCCTCAGATGCTTCAACGTTTGCTTGTATTTCGGGGAAGAGGTCAATGCTTGACTAAATCTAACCGTTGGGTTATTTGCAAGAAGCTTCTTTTTGGGGTTTTATACTACATCTATGTACAGAATGCACCAATGTTTGAATAGCTAAAAATGTTTAAACCCAGTTATCCGATACATCGATACAATATAAAATTTTCGGCACACCGATTATGAATGCATGAATGAGGTGACTAGCTACCTGTGGAAGTCTTTGCACACCGATTAGTCTTTCATGGAAAATCCATGTCTAGCCGTGGAAAGTCATAAATCATAATTGATGAAAGGGATTGGTAGAGAGAAGAAAGTGGCAATTGGCAATGCAAGTGAGGATGATATAATATTTGCGGTTTTTTTTTCTTTTCTTTTTTTTAAATACTAGTGATATTCTAAACTAATTCATCTATTAATTTGTTCATTAATTCA